ACATGGCCATATAGCCCGGAAAAACCTACAACAGCCCAGTGATTCTGGCCATGAAAGCCTTCGACAATACATTCCTTGTTATTGTTTTTGTGTTTGATATAATGACCCTTGTGGTATTTGCCTGTGTGCCAATGTGCCAACTTTCCATGTTGTTGTTGGAATGGTCCTTGTGCTCTTTGCCTTTGTGCCAATATTCCTTGTTGTTGTTTTTGTTTTTGATATAATGGCCCTTGTGCTCTTTGCCTGTGTGCCAATGTGCCAATGTTCCATGTTGTTGTTGTTGGAATGGTCCTTGCGCTCAATGTACCAATGTGTCAATATGCCAAATTCTATGTTGTCGTTGCTGCTGTTAGAATAGCCCTTGTGCTCTTTACCTGTGTGCCAGTGTGCTAATCTTCCATGTTGATGTTATTGTTGTTGCTGTTGTTAGAATGGCCCTTGTGTTCTTTGCCTGTGTGCCAATGTGCCAACATTCCGTTGTTGTTGCTGTTAGAATCGCCCTTATGTTCTTTGCCTGTGTGTCAATGTTTCATGTTATTGTTATTGTTGTTGTTGCTGCTGCTGCTACTGTTAAAATGGCCTTTGAGCTCTTTGTTTGTGTGCCAATGTGCCAACGTGCCATTGTTGTTGTTGTTGTTGTTGTTGTTGTTGCTGCTGCTGCTGCTGCTACAATGACCCTTGTGTTCTTTGCCTGTGTGCCAATGTGCCAACATTCTGTTGTTGTTGTCGTTGTTGTTGTTGTTAGAATGGCCCTTATGCTCTTTGTCTGTGTGCCAATGTTCCTTGTTATTGTTATTGTCATTGCTGCTGCTGTTAGAATGACCCTTGAGCTCTTTGTCTGTGTGCCAATGTGCCAACGTTCCGTTGTTGTTGTTGTTGTTGTTGTTGTTGCTGCTGCTAGAATGGCCTTTGTGCTCTTTGCCTGTGTGCCAATGTACCAATGTGCCAACATTCTGTTGTTGTTGTTGTTGTTGTTGTTGTTGTTAGAATGGCCCTTGAGCTCTTTGCCTGTGTGCCAATGTTCCGTTGTTGTTGTTGTTGTTGTTGCTGCTGCTGCTGCTGTTGTTAGAATGGCCCTTGTGCCCTTTGCCTGTGTGCCAATGTGCCAACATTCTATTGTCATTGTTTTTGTTGTTCCACTGCTGAACGGCTCTCACAGTCAGGAAGTTCTTCCTCATGTTCAGACGGAATCTCCTTTCTTGTAG